ATTTTTCAGCTTGGCTTTTCAGTCACATGTGCAATGCAACGGGAATGGTAATGTTTTTCAGTCACATGTGCAATGCAACGGGAATGGTAATGTTTGTCACAGTTTTCATGCGTTATTTTACGTATATTCAGCGCTTGTTTAGTTTGTAAATTTTTTGACGAAATGGTACTGTAGCAATTTCGTTGTTATTTGGTAATTAATGTCCAATCATAATCTAATTAGGCTTAAAAGATTCGTCTCGTGAATTTCATCTAAACTGTGTAATTAGTTTTATTTTTTATTTATATTTAATGCTTCATGCATGCGTCCAAAGATTCGATGTGACGAGAATTCTTAAAATTTTTTGCAAAATGAAGTGGAACTAAACGGTACCTCATTACAGATCGTTTGGAGTCTATAAGCCTAGGCCCATTGTCAGAAGTCAGATCAGCAGATCCTGACCATATAGAGGAAGCTGTGAGAGATGTACACAGGAGATTCTCACATATGCTTCCTCAATAAGGAATGGAAAATCAAGGCTTTCTTCCAATTGTAATTCCGCTTTCTGCCCGAACTTCTTGGTTCTCACTGTATACATGTTTCTTGTTGGTTCACCCACACCTTTACAATTGTCTGGGATGTTTGTTATATATATGTGCCTACTTCTGTAGGGGAAAAAAAGTTTGTGCGACCCATATTGCAATTCTTTATCGTTGCTGCTTCCCAATTATTCTAATAGTCTTTGAGTTAAGTTTTGGTTTTGGAACCTGATTATTCTTTATGCAGGTCTTGAGAGAGCATTATTGCGCAATGCGATACATTTTTTTTCAGAATTCTCAACAGCTATTTCTAGTGATGTTGCCACACATCCCCCAGCAAACGAGGACTCTGTGTCAACTTATGCTTGTGTAAGCTTCTTATAATGTTTGTCTATCATTATATATTCATATGACGCTACCAGCCCGGTCCTGAGTTTTTGTAGGCCTAGGTCGAGGACTAATATAGAGGCCTACTCCACTTTCTAAAAAAATTTGATATATATTTCTCTCTCTATATAGTCTCATAAATACACATCAATTTAGAAGATAATATTCGATGCACTAAACTAACTTACATAGAATATCTCAAAGTTCATAAAATGGATAGATGTAATAATTACTTACTTGGCACTTATACTAATTTAAACAATTTCTTCTAACATTTTGAGATGCAAAGTCATTGATTATACTATTGATATCGATCTCATCCAATAACTTCTTGATCTCGATGCATAAAATCGCCAAACCATTTAACCGTGCTTTAGACATTGTTGACCTCAAATAGTTTTTCAATAATTTTAACTTTGAAAAGTTTCTTTCAGCTGATGCGATAATCACAGGCACAGTAAATAAGATCTGGTAAGCAATGGAAATATTTGGATAACAATCCATCTCTCTGACATGCTCGAAAATCTCCATAGCAGACAATGCACCTTCTGGCAAAGTGAATTTAATAATCTTCCATTCAGAAATAAGATCATGTACCTCAACATCACATGCATGATCCATCAGCAAAGAATGGCTCTGTTCGGCTGATCTATAAGCCGCTTGTGCTGATTTGTATCACTGATTTATTAGGAGAGAAAAATATTATATCATGGCTGATAAGACGGCTTATAATGACAGCCAAACAGAGCCAAAGTTTTTGCAAATTTAGTGCATCACTCTTCAAGGTCAATATCATCTAATGACTTCAGTTCGTTAGTGGCTTTGTCTTCTGAGCTCTAAAAGGAAACTAGAAAGTCAAAGCGTCGAAGGGAAAGACCTTCCCAGACCTGCGCTATTGGCCTGTAGCCAATAGAAGCCCGCGTATGTTACTCCTTACTCGTGTATATATTAAGAGCATCTTCAAGGACTCTTTATATTCTTTCTAAAGGTTAGAAATAGAGATTTTGATGAAAAATTATCTTCCAACAGTTTTTTTAAATGATCATCTAAATATAGCCATCCTCTATTCCGCATTTTTTTTGCTAGCCAAAAATAGAAGACGAGAATGACTCTCTAAAGTGCGCATGAGATATAGAAAAAATGTTGGAGAGTGAAAAGATATAAAAAATGATTTTTATATAATTGACTCTCCAAAATACTAATTTAGAAGGTGTGATTTAGAAAGAATCTTAGAGATGTTGTAATGGCCTGTACTAATGCCCACCACCAGGACCCGTCCTAGACGCCCAAATCCTTACTCAGGCGTGTGCCATGCGAGTTAGCGACGCACGATTTCTTTTTTCGGCAGCCACTTACCCTTCCGTCCAACACCCTCTGTTTCCGTCCAGACATCAAAACAATATCGCCTCTTTCCCCTTTCTTTCCACTTAACGGGTGTTTCTTCTTGGGTTTTTTTTATCGAAGCCATTACAATTCTTCGAAGTGGGAGAAATGTCATTACAATTCGGGTATTCTGAAACATGTCATTATAATTCTGGGTGTTGCTGGTGCTTGCCATTTTCTACGTATGTGAATAGCTCAGGACCACTGTCAGGTCGAGGAAGGCATACGTGACTTTCGTATGGACATCGATGCCCTTGCTTACGTGTTACAAGCCGCTGCAGCCCTCTCTCCCGTTCATTCCATCCCCCACCCGTGCTCCTCTACGCCTTCCTCTTCCTCTGTTCCCTAAGAACCCTAACCCTAGACTGTAGCCGCCGTCGGAGACTTGTGGAGCTACGACGGCGACCTACGGAGCTGCGATGGTGACCTGCGAAGCTGCAACGGAGAGCTGTGGAGGTGCAACGGTGGTGGCAGCGGCTGGTGGTGTCGCGTCTGTGGCCGACGCATCCACCGGAGGATATGCAGGGCCCATGAAGACGATGGGTGGGGTCTTCCTACATCTACGCCGTAGTGCTGCGGCGGAGATGGAGGACTGCAATAGCAGGTAATGTATGCGTGTCCCCTGTTATCAGTTTGAGCACATAGTGTAGTTGACTTGTGTTTGCCTATTTACACTTCGATTTGGGACTCGATTTGATTGTTGGTAGGAATGGTATGTTCGCGGTAGAGGTTAAAGTCCACGGTTTTGCTACGAAAGACTCAGATGGTAGGAAATCATACACTAAAGGCACTGTGATTAAGTGGGATGTGGAGTTTGAGTCTTTAACGCTTGAACTATTGGTGTCAAGTATTGCAAATGAATTGAATGTGCCCTCTAACCAGTTACCCACAGTGTGGTTCTTTGATAAAAGACTGCATGAGGATGTCAGATTAATTAGTGAAATTCAGATGGTTGATGTCTTTGAAATGTATAAGGAAGAGATGGGTTGTTAGCTTGTAGTGGGATTGTTTGATAATGATGCTGAGTTTGATGACCTACAGCCTTTATGTGCAATTCCTGTTGAGGTTAGATTTGAGATACCCAACAATGATTTTTCCATTGCCGATGAACCAAATAGTGCTGCTGCTAACAATCCAAAGGCTTCTAAACCCAGTACTGCTGCTGCTAACAATCTAGAGGCAGCTACTGATTTAGAGCCTGAACAAGATGATGATGTTGACGTAGAGCCTGAGAGGGAGCCTGATATCTTTGATAATCCTAAAGAATATGTTGGAGTTGATGATGAACAAATCTATATTTTAGTTGCTAATGCACAACAAGCTGCTAATGCACAGCCAGTTAACAATGCTTATGATTCTGTTGATGCTCACCCATCTGATGAAAATGCTTTTGCTGTTGAAGATGAAGTTAATGATGTAGACCTCTTGAGGTGCATGTACTCCATGATCTTGAGAATTCAAACATAGTGAAGGGGGCACTGTTTCCTGATATCATTGCATTCAGAAAAGCAATTAGGCACCATGCAGTGAAGACTGGTTTTGAGTTTGCTGGGCTCAAAACAGATAAGACCAGGTTCTCAGCTCATTGTGCTACCGAGGGTTGTCTATGGCGCATACATGCATCCACTATTTTTGATAAAAAAAATAATAAAGGTAATGTGTTCAACTGCTGCTGTTTATGACCTATTTGTGACCTTTTTTTAACATACTAATGACCTGTTTGATATGTTTGTGCTGATAAAAGTGCTTCCTGCAAAGCACAATTGTCCTACCACCAAGCGTAGAGAAGGAAAGATGACAAGTCAGGACTGGTGTGTAGACAGGCTAGCAGACTGGGTAAAAAAGAATCCAAATAAGGGCCCAACAGATGCCAAAGACAAATTGGAGGGTGACTATGAAATTAAATTGAAGTACTCCAAAACTTGGTCAGGTTTGCAGGTTGCTCTAGATAGATTCATGGGTCTTATGAAAAAAGGTTTCAACCTTTATTTAATTGGGTTGCACAGGTTGAAATAAGTTCTCCTGGTAGCATTGTAAAAAATAGAATTAGAGACAATAGGTGAACAAAAAGGTTCAGAAGAATATTTGTTGCTCTGAAGCCATGCATTGATAGGTTCTTAGTTGATTGCAGACCATTTATTGGTTTAGATGCTTCTAGTCTAAATGAGAGGTATCTTGGACAGTTGGTTTCAGCTATTGGGGTTGATGGCCATAATTGGTTGTACCATATTGCCTATGGTGTTTTTGACACAGAGACTGAAGATAATTGGAAGTGGTTCATGCAGAATTTGCACAGAGCTATTAGGGACCCTCCAGGATTGGTGATTTATTCAGATGCTTGTAAAGGCCTAGAAAAAGCTATGGTAGTTGTCTTCCCACATGCTGAGAACAGAGAGTGCATGAGACACTTGTACCAAAACTTCATGAAGCACTACTCAGGTGATGTGTTCACTGACCATCTGTATCCTGCTGCAAGGAGCTACATAGAAGGCATGTTCAGATGGCACATGAAGAAATTTTTTTGAGTTTGCTCCTGATGCAATTGAGTACCTTGAGGAACACCATTCTAGGATTTGGTACAAATGTTCCTTCTTAGAGCTTAACAAGTGTGATTACCTAACTAACAATGTGTCAGAGAGTTTCAATGCACAGATTAAAAGGCTAAAGGGACTTCACCTCCATGAGTTGGTTGACAGGTTGAGGGAGCTCATGATGGAGAAGAGGTACAGTAGGAAGAAGATTGCAAGGCAGTGGGAGGATGGCATCCTTCTAGGTGTACTCAAGGATCTCAATGCCATTAGCAAAAATTTGAATGTAGTCAAGGTTGCAACCTGTGATGATGGCATTGCAGAGGTCACAATATTAGATGACTGGAACAACCAGAAAAAGGCACACAGTGAATCTTGAAAACCACAAGTCTTCCTGCAGGGAATGGCAAATAACTGGTGAGCCTTGCAAGCACGCCCTGGCATAGATTTGCTCTAACAAAGGAGTCCAAATCTCTGACTATGTCCATGAGTATTACTCTGTTGCAAAGTTTAGAGCTGCATATGAATAGAGAGTGGAACCTATGCCAGACAGGTCCTAGTGGCCTCATTTTGAGCTGGGATTTAAAGTTTTCTACCATTACTTGGAAGAAGACCAGGCAGGCCTAAAGTGGTAAGAATAAGAGGTTGCTTGGAAAAAAAACAGTACAAAGAAGAAAGTGAAATGCCAAAGGTATGGAGATTTTGGACACTTTGCCAAGACATGCAAGGAACCTGAGATGGGACCGGATGGCCAACCTGCTGCTGCTCTGAATAAAAGGTATGAAAATAAGTACAGAAAAATAATTTTGATCCGTTCACTACATACTGGTATGAAAATAAATAATTTTGAACTTATTTTGCAGGAAAAGACCAGTTGAAGAAGAAGCTGGACCATCTCAAGTAAACAAGAAGAAGAAGGCACCTAAGTAAAAGAAGACACCTAAGAAGAAGAAGAAGACACCGGTTAAGAAGAAATTGAAGAAAAATGCAGCAGCTCCACCTGCACAGGTTGTTAGAAGCCTGTTTGATATGATAAATGATGGACAGTAATGAAGCTACAGCTTTTTTTGTGTGTAATGGCAAATGGCCTTCATGGCCTGTGAACTTGATATGTAATGACGTTCATGGCATGTTAGAAACCTGCAGCTTATTTTGCGACTTAGGATATGTGGCCTATATGGCCTGGGAACCTGAACCTGTTATGTGATGGCCTAAATGGCAACTTAGTTGTGTGAATGGCCTATATGGCCTTTGAACCTGAATCTGATCTGTAATGGCCTAAATGGCATTTGAACTTGATCTATAATTTACCAGTATCTGGGTCTTGCTTCAGTTTGAGAAACCCGTTGTGTTGGACTTGAGTTGTGACTTGTGAGGTGCAGCATATGAGCTTTATCTGCACACAGTCGTGTATCCTCATGCTCTGAATTATGATAAAATAGCGATGTGATTTTCATATGATTTTATCAGTATCTGGATCTTGCTTCACATTGAGAAACCTATTGGGTTGGACTTGAGTTCTGAGGTGCTGTTGTGTATGAGATTTATTTGCAAATAGCCGCATATCCTGATTGGTCTGAATATGATAAACTGTGGTGTGATTTTCATATGATTTATCAGTATATGTGTCTTGCTTCAGTTTGAGAAACCCATCGGGGTGGAATTGAGTTGTGGGGTGCTGTTGCATATGAGCTTTTTCCTCGAGTCTCTGCACCAATGTTTAAAGTATCTTTCTTGTTCAGCAGCTGCAGGTATCTACTGCTTGCAAAGTTGCAATTGAACACTATGTGACTGCCCATGCCTATCTTCGTTTCTTTGCCATGTCGTCACAAAATAAATTTTTTTGAGATGCCTATTGCAAACGAATAATCAGAGCAAAATATGTGGAGCCCGTTTTTCATAAAAAGGCAGTAGTTCTTACAACGACCAATCAGAGTACACAACTTTTTCATAGAATATGTGGAGCCCGTTTTTCATAAAAAAAAGGCAATAGTTCTTACAACGACCAAAGAAAATCTCAGAAAACAAAACCATAACGACTACTCCTGTCCCAAAATAATCGTTTTTAGTTACACCTAGGGCTGTCCACTGTTTGTTTTAGCTGTTCACTTTCACATACCAGCAACAACCACACCAATCATGACACCTACAAAACCTACAAAGACAACGGCTACAAAAGAAGAATCAAGCACAATCCGCATGTTATTGTTGTCGACTTTAGGCTTCACTGCAGGCATGTTTTTGTTGTCGACTTCAGGCTTCACTGCAGGCATCACCTCAACATGTAGCATCTTTATTTTCCAAACCTCTGCTACAACACTATCCAGTGTTTGCTTTACCAGTTCCAATTCTTCCTTCAAATCGGCGCAACAAACACCAGCTGCATCCTTCACTAACTGCACCCTCCATTCCTCTGCTTCCAAGGCCATATACTCCTTCTCAAAGTGGATGTATGGGCAGGTACCATCATCATCCTGCAATCGAAACAAAGGGCATAAATCAGAGATGAATCAACACACAACGAGCACAACAATATCAAAAATCATAACCTTGATGTTGTACGGGCACTTGAGGTACCACTCGCCCTTTGTCGCCAGTTGCTTGCTCTGGATGTGGACCAAAGCAACATGGCAAAAGGGGCACTCCCTTCTACCGCTGGCCGTCAAGCTCGAGCCACTGGAAGTTGCCTTCATGGTGCTGCGACTCCACTTCCCGGCCATGGCTTCAAAGTTGGGCGCCGCCATCGAACCGAGCCTCAAGAGCAACAGATGTCGCAGATCTCAGGTGGCCATGCCAGACTGCTCCGCCGTGGGCTGCGACGTCGGCTCAGGCGGAGGGATGGATGCTGGCTAAATTCTAGGGTTAGGGTTCTTGGAGGAGGGGAACGGAGTCAGACGAGAGACAAAGACCGAGAGGGCCATGGCGGCTTCTAACGCTAACGGGCAGGGGCATCGATGTCCATACGAAAGTCACGTATGCCTTCCTCGACCTGACAGTGGGCCCGAGCTGTTCACATACGTAGAAAATGGCAAGCACCAGCAACACCCAGAATTATAATGGCATGTTTCAGAATACCCGAATTGTAATGGCATTTCTTCAACTTCGAAGAATTGTAATGGCTTCGATAAAAAATCCTATTTTTATACCGTGCATTCACCATGGCATTGGCTGCGACGTGATTGACCTGTGATTGTGGATCAACTAGACTAAACAAAACCAAGAAGGCACGCGGGGCAAGAAGAAATCGAATCAATTAGAACCAGATGATTATGGCCATGTTTTGAACCGGATATAATTGGATTCGCGCCTGCCTCACCGTAAGAATAAAAAAAAATCCGTTAAACTCCTCATGGTATCAATGGTTCTTTTCACCGTACAGGACTCATCCACCACGGGATTGAACTGGTAGTTCAGTTTCATGTACCGTGGCTCCGCTACCGCACCGCGCGGAACATGTATCCAAACAGGGCCTATAGATCGAAAGCGATCGTTCTTCATTTGGAAGCTTGTGCCTGTCCCCAGTGGCGGGCCAAACTGTTATTCAAGGGTATTTAGTTGAATACCTATTTTTTGCAAAAAAAAAATGTATAGTGTATACATAATTGTGTATAAAAATAGAAAAATGCCAAAACAAAAAATTGTGTCACCAATTCAGCCCCAGACATATATGCCTTGTTCGTTTGATCTTGTTTGGCTTATAAGCCGTACTTTTCAGCCAACGAGCAGTATTTTTCTCTCACACCAAATCAGTCAACGGTACTTTCAGGCATGACTTATCAGCCAAACAAGCCCAAACGAACAAGGCGATACTCTCCTGTCGATTTTCACCTCCCTATCGAGGCGGTCCGCTGCCTGTGCACCGTGCTGCGGTGGCTGTTGGCCTATGTCTACGGGGTGCCAAGTCACTGCCTCTCGGTGGTGAGGTAGTGTGGAGGCGAGGATCGGTCGGAGCACTGCCACTAACTCTGAATTAGTTTGTAAGTCAATTTGTCAATTGGCTTCCCAATTCAATAGATTATCAATTGCAATTTGCGCATGTTTGTGAAATGTTGAAACTGAGACAATAAAGTTAAGGCAGCAATAATTACTTAGAGGAATTTTACAGGTACTGCCACTTTGATATGTTAATACTTGGTACTTCTATATGTTATAAATAATTTCAAGTTAAGTTCTATTCTATGTATATATGAAATCATGCTCAATTATGTGTTATAATTGCTATATAACAATTACTAATTCAAATACGTGGAATTATACATGTCAAATATTAGGTTTGAGGTCCAGAAAAAAGATTTGACAACTTCATATTTTGAAAACCCTACCTCAAATTTCTGGGCTTTGTCCTGTTCGTTTTTGTTTTTTGGTCACAACTCCCGAAAGTGGAAGTGGAAAAGCAAAAGGCTGTGAAGTATTCTTTCCATCTCAAAATAAATGTCATTCTTATTTTTTGATAAGTCAAACTTTTTTTAACGTTGGCCAAATATATATAAAAATATTAATATTTATACTACATAATTAGTATTATTGGATAGATCTTTGAATCTATTTTTATACTCCCTCCGTTCTAAATTATAAGTCACTTTGACTTTTTTGTATATTTATTTTGCTATGTATTTAAATATAATTATGTCTAGATACATAGCAAATTATATGTATAAAAAAAGTCAAAGTGACTTATAATTTGAAAATGAAAGAGTAATAAACTTATTTAAAAATACAAATATTCTTAATATTTAAAAAAAATAATTAAACTTAAGAAAATTTAACCGACACGGAACCACGTTTAAACGGAGGGAGGAGAAGACAGCTCCCACGGCCCTGACAGCTCCCACACCCCTCGGCTCCTCTCTCCCTACTCCCGACCTAGAGCGGCCTCGGCAGGCAGGCAGAAGTGCCAGCAACGCAGTACCGCGACCAGACCGAACACCGAAGCTACAAAGCTGCACTGCCGTACGTACACAACCACAGGCCCATAGCAGTATAGCACGACCACTGGCATACAGTACTACACCAGAGTTTTTTTAGAGGATACACAGCATATTTAGGTGCTATTTGTGCGTTGAATTAATAGTTAGCCGATAATAATTAACTCGATCCAAATAGATCTAGTTAATAGTTTAACTAATTATTCTCTCCAGCCTAGATAATAAGTAAATTTCTACAAATTTTAAAACAGATTTAGGGCACTGGCAAGAAATCTGTTATTTATTTGGGACAAATTTGAAATCTTAAAAATTTATTTGTTTGAGACGGAGTAGTTGAATACTAACAAACAACTATTTTACTAGCTAAACTAAAATAACTACTATTAGCTATGAACTACGGAGTATTAGCTAGCTAACTATTAGCGGTTAATGATCCAAACAAGGCCTAACACCTAACCGTACAAAATCCAAGATTATTTGACCTAGGGTTAATCCAACGGTTTCACACAATGACACAAACACAATGGGTCAAACTGCCGGAGGAGAGGAAGATTACCTGAAATCTTCCCAAACGCTCCGTCCGAACGCTAGGACAGGAGCCGCCGAGCGCCATCTAATTTTCCCTTGATGGGCCTTACCACTTTTCGTGGCCCACTGACAATATACATGTTCATGCATTCCCGAGGGAGGTCTGAGTATGCGTTCGGGTTTGTTTCTCTACAGATTCGGTGGATTGTTTTATTTTATTTTTCCTTTTCTTTTTATTTCTTTACTTTTTTTTTTTCTGCTCTTATATTTCCCCATTTTTCTTTTCTTTTTTATGTGGTTTTTATTCGTCTTTACATTTTTATATAGTTTTCTCTTTATTTTATTTCCTTTTACTTTTACTGTAATTATTATTTTCTTTACTTTATCTTTATTTTCAGGTCTTGCTCTTTTTTGTTTTGTTTCTTTTCCCTTTCTCTTGCTATTTATTTTTCTGTAGATTTTCTTAATTGTTTAGTTTAAATTTTTATTCTTTTTTTATTTTACTTTCACGAGATATTATGATGGTCACATAGTATACTCGTGATGTTCAACGATGTACTTTTGTTTATTCACACAACATATTTGAAAGATCACTCAACATTTATCTTGATAAGTGCCTTGATATTAATGGGTACTTTGTTGAATTCTAAATTCAATATATTCCAAGGCATGAAAACAGTAAGGCTAAGATGTAGGCTCAACAAGCATCAAACTTTGACGTTAGAGGACACAATTTTCATATCAAAGAAAAGTCGGTGCAAAAGAATCGAACTGCAGCTGGTCAGCTAGAACCGAGCAGGCCGGTTTTCTCTGTGTACTTCACAGAATCTATCATACTCTACATTTCTTATGTGTTGAGTGCATTGGTATGAATTTACTTCGAGGTTTGCTAGTATCAAGGGGAGAGTCTCTCTGATTAATAACTTTTGCAAACATCATATTGCACTCTTTTCTTTGTATGAGTTTTTCCTTGGGGTTTCTCATATAAAGGTTATCATATCATCCATTTTTCCCCATAGGAGTTTTTGGTGGATGATATTTAGACATAAGATGCATTGTACTCTTTTTTTTCTGTGAGTTTTTCATTTATGGTTTCTCATATAAAGTTTTTCATGAGGCAATATCCACACAAAAGTATATGCTATATCATCTACTTTCCCCACCGAGGTTTTTGGAAAGATGATATTTGAAGCATATTGACCATATGGTCAAGGTGTTTCTAGACTAAGACTTTGGGTTTATCTTAATGGGTCTAAAAACGTTGGTGATTGCATATCATGGTGTTTCTCCTTATTTTTTCAACTGGGTTTTAATGAGTCTTGCCTGGTATGCCGGTACTTTGGTTTTTCCCACAGGGTTTTTCCCAAAAATTCTTAATGGTGCATAATAGATGAACAATGACGACTACAAAGAGCTAATTGACCAAGTGAGAGTGTTGAGAATTATCATTTAATGATCAATTATGGATTAATCTAAGGGTTTCTTTTCACCCATCTCTCTTTTAGACTTGTAACTGTCTATCTGGGCTCATATATATATATATATATATATATATATATATATATATATATATATAGGTATGATATATATATATATCCCTCAGGGTTTAAGTCGAATTTGCATCGACCTTTCTCTTTTTCCTTTCACGATTACCTGTCTTGTAGTTTGTTGAACAACGAATAAACGGTAACAACGAACGAGGGAAGCAGTTTGGTTAGATTAGTAGTAAATGCCTTTCCATTTTACACAACCATTAGTCCTTGTTCGGTTGTTGTTAAAATCAAATGGATTAGTGGGGATTGGTAGGGTTGAGGAAGAACTTAACTTGTAGGGGATTTAATACTCCCAAATCCCTCTCAAAATTCCCTTGGTTCTGGGATCAAACGAACAGGCCACCCTCACTCCACTGTCCCTTGTCTTCGTGCAACAGATGAAAAACTACAGGATGGAGCCGTCACGCACAGCTGCATCCGGAACCTCTGTAAATAACAACAGTTCAAGCTATACAATAGAATAAAGAAATGTAGGGAGATCTAACTTCCCAAGAGATGACAGAACCTATGAGCAAATGCCACATCACTGCGTTTGGAAAAGAAACGAGAATATTGCTTTATTGCTACAAATCTTTCGCTTCTTATTGTGTGACTCAGCTCGATACTGATACACTGTTTGGATGATCTACTACTACTAATATACTCGATAACAACTCGGTGATTGCTGAATGTGATACACAGATAAAACTTTGGGTGCCTATACCACATTATACAAGGGGTCAATCTCCAAAGAGAAGGAAAAAAGGCCTTCCCTTCTAGTTAATCAGATAAACCAGCCTTGCTCCTCAAGTGTTCCTTGAAATCCATGATATCGCCTTCCCACCTAGTCACTGCCTGATTCTCACAAACCCAGATCTCATGAGCGACCTGGTTGATCAGCCTGAAGTCATGGCTCACCAGGACCAGACCGCCGTCCCACTCATTCAGCGCCTCCGCTAGGGAGTCAATGGTCTCGATATCAAGATGGTTCGTTGGCTCATCCAGCAGCAGTAGCTGCGGCTGCCTATATGCCAGCCACGCAAAGATGACACGGCTCCTCTGCCCGTCCGACAGGTTCCTCATCGGCATCACCTGAGCCTTCCCTGACAGCCCAAACTTACCAACTGCAGCTCTCATCCTCTCTTCTTCGTTTCCAGGGTATTCCTTCATCATGTATTGCAGGGCTGACATGTCCAGGTCCAGCTTCTCTGCCAGATGCTGATGGAACTGTGCGATGCGCAGGTGATTGTGCCGCCTCACCATACCGTCCAATGGAACCAGCTCACCAGTCATGAGCTTCAGAAGAGTGCTCTTCCCTGCCCCATTTGGACCAACCAGTGCAATCCTAGAGTCCAGGTCAACACCAAAGTCAAGCTTCTTGTACAAGAGATTATCCGGTGTGTACCCAAACGTGACCTCGACAAACTGAAGCACTGGTGGTGGAAGCTTGCCAACGTTTGTGAAGCGGAAGACCAGTATTTTGTCCCTAACAACCTTCTCGGTGAGCCCACCACGCTCCATCTTTGCAAGAGTTTTCTCCTTGCTCTGAGCCTGACGTGCAAGCTTTGCTGACCCATGGCCAAACCGTGCAATGTACTCCTTCATTGATGCAATCTGCTCCTGCTCCCACTTGAACTGCTTCATCTGATTCTCTTCAAGCTCGGAGCGGGTCTGAACATACTGGTCATAATTCCCAGTATATAACTTGAGCTTCTTGTTCTGCATATGGATGATGTTAGTGCACACACCATTCAGAAAGTCCTGGGAATGCGATATGACAACAAGTATACGGTCAAATTTCTTTAGCGTCTCTTCCAACCAGACACATGCCTCAAGATCTGCAAATTAACATAAAAGAAATTAGTCCAGCGGAGCAACAGGTTCACTAAAACAGGGCCTTGAGAAATCTTTCTGCAGGTCCTTGGGACTTCAATAACAAGTTTTTGATCGTTCTACAGACTACAGGTATAACATATGAATGCCATTAGGAAACAAAATTGGTGGGCTGAAGTCATTTATACCAACAGGATATGCAGCATTGGCATCACGTTGTGTGATACATTAGAAAAAAGGGTACGGCAATTGACATGATATCTTATCTTTGGATGAACTCAGCTACTTACATTAGAAACCAAGTTGTTTATCAGTGACATCCATATACACATGAATATAATAATACATAGAAGATGCAGATCGTTGTGCACATGAATATTTGTAGTATTTAGTAGGTTTCTAGTTCACAAAAGCTACCAGAAAAATCCACATAGATGGTTTTCTACTTCAGCAGTTATCATCCATTTTAGAATTTAAGAGTCTTACCTAGATGGTTCGTGGGCTCATCAAGCAAAAGGATTGTTGGATTCATGAACAGTGCTCTAGCCAAAGCAATCCTCATACGCCAACCACCAGAAAAATCTCGAGTTTTCTTTGCTTGCATTTGCTTGTTAAAACCTAAGCCAAATAATATCTCAGCAGCACGCTTTTCAGCAGTTGATGCATCAATCGCTTCTAAACGCTCATATACACGATCCAAAGCATCACCACCACCATCATCCTAAAAATGTGAGCAATCATAATACATGTTACTAGGTTAGGACATTCTCCAGCATCATCAAGTTATAATTTGCAAGAGCAGCACAGCAGAATATATACAAGACTAGAGAAAGGTGTAAAACAACAAATGTGAGGAAGTTCAAGAGGTGACCTGTGCAGCCAAAATCTCCGCCTCCTTTTCCAACTTCACTCTTTCTTCATCACAACTAACAACAGCTTGTAGTGCAGACATGTCTGAAGCCTCGATCTCATGGGTGAGATGGTATATGTCCATGTGTTCAGGTATAGGGAGCTCCCTGCAGCCTATCGCTGTGAGCAGAGTAGATTTTCCACAGCCATTTAGGCCGAGCAAACCATAACGCCTGAGACCAATTAAAACCGTCAATGACGTGCTCGGGCAGCGCACTTGGTCGTAACCCGTAACGGAATGGCTATAAGTGATGGCATTATATGTCTAGTTGTCTACCTCCCATAGTTGAGCTCCAACTCAGAATCTACAATAAGGTCGTGGCCATGAAACGTTAATGAAAGAGACTCTATCTGCAACATGCAAAAGATCATATTAGGTGTCACTAGGTGGTCAGTAAGAAATGAACTACTAAAAAAGCATGGGTTGAGGGATACTGTTATTTGTGGCAGCGAAACCTGGAACCTGTATTTCGTTGCACACTGAGCCATTTTATAGTGGGGATAAAGAATTAATCCGATGATCCAACTTCATGTGGAACATCAGAGAGATAGGGTGAAAGGAAGGTTTGACAACACAGAAGACGTCAGTATTTACAAATTGGGCGGCCTAGGCACCGCCCAGACACCTGGCTAGCTGTGAGTTATTTTTTACAATACTGAAAACCCAGAGAAAATAGTTCACCAGCCTACTTTTTGCCAAAATGAATTATGAAGTTGCAATTCGCTCTCTGCAGAAGGGGGGAAAAAAACTCCCCTATCATAACAAAATGGATGGATCGGGCAGAACAGGGATGCTCACGTGGATATCTCTGGAGAGCGGGTGGGAGGCGAGGACGCCGGTGCAGGTGCGATCGGAGAGCTTGAGCGCTGCGACGGCATCGACGGCCTTAACGGCGGCAGAGGAGGAAGATGAGGAAGGGGCCGGGACCTTGGCTCCCCTCTTGGCTGCGGCGGCCGCCTTCTTCTGCGCGGCCTTCTTCTTGCTGGCGTCCGACACCATGGTGAGGAGGATGGGGAGGGTGAGGCGGCAGCGGCCTGATGAAGAAGCGGGGAGAAGAATCGGGAAGGTCGGAGAGGGACGACAGCGCAGCACACCTCCACCAGACCAGGATTGTGGGAATGTGAAGCAGACGACAGGCGAAGAAGGGGAACCTCAACTCTACTCGTGATGTCCTCCTGACACTTGTCAGTGTCCTTTCTACTTGTGCTACTGGGCTTCTCCTCTCCGACGGGCCGATACGGGCCTTTTGCCTCTCGCAGAGGCATGTAATGCAAGCCTTTCCGTCTTGGGCTATCCATATTCCATAAACTCCGCCATGCTCGAGGTCTTCATCACATGGCCCATGGACTCCATCAAGACGAAGCTCTTCAGCGGCCTCCACAATGCAAGACCACAACGCCACTCAACCACATTTAACTTTATTTGCCTGGCAATGTGCAGCAACGTTTGGATAAAAGATCTAAACATGCCCATGTTTATTTTTTATATAATAAAGAAAAAGGAGGCAATGTGTGTGGTATATATACGATAGTATAGTGCTTTTACAGGCTAGCCTGAAAAAGGAGAATCTGTGCTGCAACTGCTTAATGCTGCCTTAGCTTGTCAACTGCCCCAGAAAAGGTAGCATTAATTCTGAGATCCGCAACGTCTCCATCATTTAAGGGCTTGTTTGGTATTTGTATCTACCTTAATTTATAAGGTATTAGAGTGAATTGAAATAAAATAACTTTTAACCTAATCCACCTCAATGCATATGAATTGAGATTAATATGAGTACCCCAACAAGGACTAAGAGTATATGGCGCAAAAGCCCAATGCACATCCATACTTGCATTGCTTTGACTGGAAATATAACTCTATAAAGCACATGTTTAATCTATTATTTACTAATATAGTTAGCTAGCTCATACTCCATCTGTCCTAAATTATAGATCATTTTGGCTTTTTCTAGGTACATAGTTTGCTATTGCTATACACTTAAATATAGGATATGTCTGGAAACATAATAAAAGTTGTGTATCTAAAAAGACAAAACAACATATAAATTAGAACGAAGAGAGTAGCTATTAACTATTAGCTAGCTAATTATTAGCAGGAGACTGTTTAAATTCACCTGCTAACATGTTTGTAATATGTGGTTGGCACCTATCATCGACCCCAAACTTATTAGAACTAATAGTTAGTACGTAGCCCCTTAGCTAATATAATGGAAGTGCACGAAATTATTGAATGCTTATATAAAAGCGAAGCATGGAGGGTGTAATATAGTTACTAGTTAAGTAGCCCTCAAGATAGACTAATTAAAGGGGAATCGATCGAATCGATAAATCAAAAGTGATTACACTGATGGTACATGAAAAGTGCAGTGCAGTTTATATTGTTAATTGATGGACGCACGAGAAAGACAAAGCAGGCAGCTAGCTTAACGAAGTAAAGCGTACAACTAACAACTAATAAAATGTAGGCGCAGGAAAGAAGAACAATCAGGGGACTGATCGGAAGCGGGTGAGCCGGCTCACATGCAGCCCAGGGCCAATGCCAGTCGTGAATAAAAAGTACCCCCTCCTTCTTTGCAATAAAATACAAGGGACTTTTAGTTTTAGTTCAAATTATATTAAGTTTGACTATTTATTGAAAAAACAATAATATTTGTTATAACAAATTAGCATCATTCGGTATATTATGAAATATATTTCTATATGTAATTTACCTCTTTGTTATATATGGTAGATGCCAATACTATTCTTTACATACTTTTGATCAATTTAACACCATTTGACTTTTAGAACAAATTAAACTTTTTTTTATATTTTAGGGTAGAGGGAGCAAGTGAACACGACCTTACGAGTCAGTCGCTTCTGTGCATTGCGTTGCATTGTCGGGCATGCATCATGCACAATGCTTGTAATATATGCTACTAGTGACGTGCGACTCTGCTAGTGGGTGATAATATATGTAAATACTACCCAGTGACTCAGTGAGGTGGGTTCTTAGTGCTCGTCGTCTCATCAATCAGGCCTTAACTAGTTTATTTATTTGTACTACATGCTGCACTAAACAATCATGTGTGAGTACGTAAGATCGATATGGAATAAATATATACATGGCAGATGGAAGGGATCAGGAGGTGCCTTCTTCTTCGTCAGATCATCAGTTTATATTAACAAAACAAAGGCAGTTTCAGTTAGTGCTAACTGCTATGAATGACAAGACAAACCAGAAGCATATACATGAAACCGCATGCTAGGACGTGGAAGAACCGTGCATGTATCAGCTCAAAATAAGCAATATAAGCAAGCGGCGGCGTGCATTAATGCATTATATATGTAAGTACTGAATTAATTGGCGTTATAATATTATTGGTCTGCGCAACAAAACACTGTTGTCCCGTGATTCATGGACGGACGTCACCTGCTGAAGAAGATAGATTGATTCCTTGAGACTATATATTTCTTGATTGATTTCTTCTATTGTAAAGCCGGCCGGCCACGCACTTTTGACTTACCAGAGAGTCAACATGTACTGACGTCAAGATAGATATGTTTTATTTCAGTTATAGATCTTTTTTAGTAAAATAAAATTTCACGGTACACGAAAACCGCATGATAGTGCTGCGGCCGTTGCAGACCATCACTTTTGAGAAACTAGAGAAACACTGCAAATAAAACATATGGCTGACAAGTCCGTTAGCCTATTCGCTGGTTGGTTTTAGTCAGGACTTATCAGCCAGCTAATACTATTTTCTTCTCACAACAAACTAATACTAGTTGGATTTATCAGCTAAGAAATCAACCAGCGAACAGGCCGAGTAACAGCGTGCTAACAAAGCCCAGAATTAGCAATGGAAGATGTGAGTAACTTAGATGAAAACTAAAAGATGATCTATTACCATGCATATGTAGATAATTTGGATACATATTTTGGGTTTTATTTACTCTAGAGAGATTGTCTTTCATAATGGAATATGTTGGTAATTTAGGAGCAGATATAGGAGGTTACTTAATGTTTTTTAATAGTAGAGGTGGGTGATTTTTTTTTTACCAAGTCAGCAGGAAACCTCATTATTTCAGGTCTGTTTAAATTTACTCTCACGGGGAGTCGAACTCAGGCCTGCTGGATGCTACTCAGGTGCTCTAACCATTAGGCTAGAGGCCCTTTGGTGTAGAGGTGGGTAATTGTTAGAGGAAGAGGATAGATTGAACAATTATAAGAGTCTCTTAAATAATGGCATTAGTGTTTGTGATTTTATGATGATTTTCTAACTTTTTTTCAAACACAGCTTTTGAGGATTAACACGGAGACTACTTTAGGATCTGCAATTAGTAATAGAGTAAGATAATACATTCGGGAGTGTCTTGCAAATGGCTTTAAGCCATCCTGCCAGCTCCATCTAGTTGCAGAAAGAGCATGACACCTTGTTTGGCTTGCTGAATCTTGGCTAAAATTGGTTGAAAAACATTGTTTTGCCTGAAATGTTGTGAGAGAAAAATAATATTCCGGCTGAAAAAAAAACTCGAACAAATCGAATATGGGGTAAGCCGAACGGGCCCTGCTACAGGACAGGATGACAAACTAAAGGAGGATACAGATCGAGTTAATATGATTAATTATGTCACTGAGATATCGATGATGGTCATCACTTGCTTGTTGCAGTTTTTTTTTTTGTAAGGCTTGTTGCATGATTGATCATCGTACAAGCAAGGTAAGCTAAGCAACCACTGAACATCTATGGATCGATCGTTTCCTAATAAAGCATCGTACCGGGACGATCTCATCTACCGACGCCTAATAACTACAATTATGCTCGATCATGCTTTAATTTACACATCTGACAGAAACGAAAAGCAAATTAAAGCTAGAAATGATATATATGCTTTCACGACGAAAAAGGTACATGTATTGTTTGATTGATTAAAAGAAGCTGCAAATCCTTCTTCTGGAATGTACACCCTTTGTCCTGGAATTTAAGGAATCTAAATTTATCTTAAATCAAACTATACAAATTTTAACCAAATTATAGATAAGGGTATTAATTGTCCTGCTCGTTTGGATGATAAGTCATGGCTGAAAGTGTTGTTGACTGATTTATTGTGAGAGAAAAATACTGTTCGTTGGCTGAAAAAATACGACTTATAAGCCAAGTGAACAGGGACAAATATCTATCACATCAAAGACATAAATTATGATGATAATTTGATGTCATAAATATTATTCTTATTTTCTATAATTTTAGTCAAAATTAATATAGTTTGACTTAGCACGAATGTAAATCCTTATATTTCAGGCCCGATGGAGTACTATCATGCTATTGACCCATATCTCTTTTTAAAGAGGTCTGAAGCTGAGGGTTTTGTTTTCCCTTTATCTAAAACAGAAATAGCATAGACACGTTATACTCTCTTTGTACCTGAATAAATAGTAGCAAGTTTAGGACAAATTAGTATGATAGAGAAAAGGTCATACTCCATTCATTAAGCATATTCGTTTGTTGGTTTCAGCCAGAGCTTATTAGCCAGCTAATAGTGTTTTTCTCTCACAACAAATCTAGCACCAGCCGGGCTTATCAACCCAGAAACCAACCAGCGAATAGAACACTAATCGATCGGTAATTATTTCAAAAGCACACTAATTATGGCATTTAGTACACACATCCAACTACAGAAACTTACAATACTAGATTTAGAGATGGGAGGGTGCAGTAAATGCCAGGAGACTTCGAGAAAATAAATGGACTAGTAGACATTTAACCTCTTAGAAATTGATTTATTTGTGACAAATGGTTTTGCCAATTTGTTTGGAGACTGGACTATTAATTTTTATATTATTTATTTAAAATTTTGTATTTATTTATTGTGTCTTGTAGAAATTATTTATTTTTATCTTTCTTTCCAACTCGTATGAAAATTAAATCGCTAGTTTTCTTGAATTTATTATCCCAAATTTAATATTTGTTAACTGTATTAGGCATGATTTTTTTTGGTCGTAAAAATTGAATGGCC